GCAAATCAAAATCACAATGAGATGTCACCTCACACCTGCCAGAATGGCCATTAACAAAAAGACAAGAAATAAGTGTTGGCAAGGATGTGGAGAAAACCCTCATGCACTGTTGGTGGGCATGCAAGCTGGTACAGCCACTGTGGAAAACAGTGTGGAGGTTCCTCAAAAAACTAAAAATATAACTACCATATGATCCACCAGTAATTCCGTTCCTGGGAATATATCCAAAGGAAATGAAACAATATCTCAAAGAGATGTCTGCACCCCCACGTTCATTGCAGGATTATTCACAATAGCCAGACAGGCAAGTATAGTGTCCATCAACGGATGAATGGATAAAGAAGGTATGATACACATTTATAATGGAATATTACTCAGCCATGAGAAAGAAGGAAATCCTGTCATTTGCAACAGCATAGATGGACCTTGATGGCATTATGAAATAAGTCAGAGAAAGATAAATACTGTCTGGTGTCACTTATACATGGAATCTAAAAAAAAAAAAAAAAGTTCAAACTTGCAGAAACAGGGTAGAATGGCGGTTGTCTGGGGCGGGGGCAGTGGGGAAATAGGGAGAGTTTGGCAAAAGGGTACAAACTTCAGCTATAAGATGAATAAGGTTTGAGAATCTAAGGTATAACGTAGTGACTATAGTTGCTAATACTGTATTGTGCACTTGAAATTTGCTATAGTAGGACTTAAATGTGCTCACAAAAAAAGGAAAGATTTGAGGTGATACATATGTTTAACTAGATGGAGCGAATCCTTTCACCATACATAGGTCAGATCGCCACGATGTATACTTTAAATATCTTACAATTTCTTTTGTCAGTTCTCAATAAAGCTGAAATTTTAAAACTTTTTCCTTCAAAAAACCCTCTGAGAACCAGAAAATCCCCGAAAGCATTTAAAAAGTAATTAAGTAGCTGCTAAGACCCACTTTCACGTGCGATTGTAGCAGTGTACTCTGCGGAAGTTCCAAATCACCAACACTAGCGCCACTTGCTTTCTCCCTCGCAGACACTATTTCCAGGAGATGTAATTTGGTCTGTGCGAAGTATCTTGCCTAGAGAAAGTGCACTCAAGCCTCTCCCAGAGCACATCAGAGAGAGATGGCAATACACTGCTAAAATCGTAGTTGCTTAATCTGGACTCGGCAGGACCACAAATAAGACTGCCGTTTTGAAAATGTGGAAGAGGACCTGTTCGGGTGAATCAATGTAAGCATAGGATGCAATTCAGAAGAGATCCTCTGTCAGGGAATGGGGGGGTCATAGAAATCTGGTGGTTACGACAAACGCTTCTCAAGTCCTCACCGGCAAGACAGTGGAAACCCTGCGTGGACCCCCTAGTCTGGGGGGATTACCCACTTTCCCTTTCCTTTTGTTAGGATCCATATTCAAGAAGAAGAGAAAATAAGCAATTTAATAACTGCTTTGGTGGTGGGGCATCTGGTTGTCTCAGTCCGTTAAGTGTCTGACTCTTGATTTCGGCTCAGGTCATGGTCTCAGGGTCTTGAGATGGAGCCCTGTGTGGGGCTTGCACTGGGTGTGGAGCCTGCTTAAGATTCTCTCTCTCCCTCTGCCCCCCCCCCGCCAAAATAACAATAAATAAAAATAAAATTAAATAACTGCTTTTGTGGACGCTGGTGTACTGCCTGGATCTCCCTCCGCACCTGGCCCTCACCCCCCTGCTGCCTGGAGTACCTGTTGCCGACGGTCCCAGATGGCTCCCTCCTCGGGAACTGCCCTCAGCAAAGAACACTGCCTCATCCAAGGTCACCTGCCCTCCCTGGAGGGTGCAAGGCCTGGACCCCTTACCTCAGAGCAGGTCCTCTGAGAAAGGCCATCTCTGCTCAGAACTGAGCCCACTGAGGCTGCTGCAACACCCACTTCACTGCCAGCTCTGCCTGCCGGCCCTTCTGCCCTCAGGCCCTCACAAGGTTGCTGGCTCCCAAGAGGGTACCTCAAAGATCCTGCCTACAAATCTCCCTTCAGACTCTCTTCTCTAGGGAATCCCAACGATAGTGTGGCTTCTGCCACTTCATTTTTTATAGGAGTGTTGCAAATATATCAAAATGTCCCAACCGTCATAAAATTGTCATGCGCTGGTCTCAAGATTTTCTGTTAGAGGGTGGTATTAACTGACATTGACAAAGGAATGCTATTTTTGTTCAATGGTGACAAAAGTCACATGACATCAAAACAGCTGTCAAGCAGTTAATTTCGTGGAGACCAAAATTATAAAATTATTTTGAAGCATTATTATCTGTTTTTTTGGCAGGTACTTAATTACTTGAAATTTATGGTCATTAAATTCAAGTGGGCTGCTTTAATTTAACAATCAATTAACAAAGCGTAACAGGGCTTCCCTTTCTAGGTGCGCTTGGAACAATCTTGATGAAGGGGAATCTTGCCTTCAAGCACATTGTGAGTTGTTCTTGTCAAAAACCAGTCTGTGTTCTACGAGTTTTCAGATGGAATTTGGAATAAAAACATGCTGCTTCTGAGCTGATTTTGAAGGCAAGGCATTCTGGATGCATCTGAGCGGCACGGGTAGGGAATGGGGTGAGGGACAGATGCAGAAGTAGCCCCATGCCCACCCACACCTGACAACGCCCTCCATGCAGCACTCACTTTAGAATCCATTTCACAGTAATGTCACTAAAGGTCCAAAGGCAAGATGAGGGAATGATCTTGTGAAGTGAATCTGTGCAAGATGAGGCATTTTCTATTTCTTCTGGCTCCCAGAGCTGCCCATCCTTATCAAACTGTGTCCCTGGGGCCCTGAGAAACGTAGGCCCAGCGTGGGGAGCCCTCCCTTCCGGGCGTGGCACCTGCTGCACAAAAGACAAAGGCAGTGGGCACCACTGGTCTGAACCGTGCTTCTTCTCCAGGCGATACTTCTCTGACCTCCCCTAGTCTAAAGAAAGGGAGGCGGGTTCAACAGCAGGGATTTCCAACAGCGCATGTGGGTACTTGAGGAATGTGGCATGGAGTTTTGCATTTCTTTACCTCGAACTTCTTGGAGAACGTTACCAGCAGGTCAGTGAGAGCCATGCGACCAGCTCACGCTGGGCCAAAGAAGCCGCGTGGCAGAAAGCAACCAACCTATCGGTGGCAGGGATGGAGCCGCGATGGACGCAGACCGTCCATTATGTCAATCGGTGCAAATCAGCAGAACTCCCCTGTTAAAAAAAGAAGGGAGGGAGGAAGGAAGGGCCATTGCCAGTATTTATAAAAAAGAAAAAATCCAGCATCTCACCACCTACAGGAGGCATACTTGAAATAAAAATTCATGTGCATTAGAAAGTAAGCTGTGCCCTGCTGGTGCTGATGGAGAGAACCAGGATGGACACCAGTGGGAATCCAGGGTTGCAGGGACTGCAGGAAGCTGGGACGGCTTCACCCTGGCTAAACAGCCCCCGGGCATCAGCTTAAGTCTAACAGGCATGGACATTCTGTGGACTGGACCAGAAATGTTTCCAATTGTGTGTGACCTACTTTACCTAAGTTTGCCAATGGCCAGGTACGCACATGCTGGTTTCCTCTCTCTCCCGCTCCCACTTTTGTCCCCTCCTTAATTTAGCCCCAACTCAATACAGACATTCCCTCTGAGGATTTATTTTTAAGCTGATAATACTATGTCCCCAAAACAAAACTGCAAAAACCCCAACAGTATAACAAGGATAAATGGACAAATTCCCTGACAAGAGCCGGCTTCTAAAATACAACAAGTGAAGATACAACTAAATAAGATCAATTTTCCACACAACTTAGAAGTGAGTTCTCCTTCTAAAAGTGGCCTAAACCACCCTAAAACATCACCTGTCACTATGTAGCTGCAGGGATTTGGGAATGTCCAGGTGTGATCAAGTGGCATAAATCCCGGAGGAGTAGATGGCTTGGACTCAAAGGTGCTTGTCGCTCAGGGAAGCTGAAATCACAACACGTACGGACTTGCCAGCGTTCCAGCCACGTGCGGAGGGAGGCTGTCCTGCTGGCAGGCACTGGAGGCCCTCATCCAGGAATGATGGATGCATCAGCCACCTCAGGACAGGAGCTCAGCTTCTGATTCAGAGCTGTGTCCCAAGGCTTCCACCTGGCAAGATGCCATCCGAGCATCTTACGCACACCTATTTTCCACCCAAAACAGTCTCCTAAGAATGATTGGCTTCCAGTATGGAAGGGAGAATGTGTTGAAGAGAAGAACTGAGCTTCTGTGCTTTACTCACTGGAAAGTAATAAACTGGCATTTTGGTTTGTACATCAGTCTCTTGAGAGTTTGGTTAACTTGGGTTAACTATGGATGCTACCCTGGAGTGAAGACCCTACCAGGGAGCCAGTTCCCAGGAGAACACTGTCTGAGTAGCCAGCAGGCGCCTTCTTTGGCATCAGAGTGGGGTCAAGGCTTCTGACAGAACATTCAGAATCAGCCCTCCACCAATACCCCCAGAACCGTCTCTCTATTTCAGTTTCCATCAGAAAACATTTTCTCCAAGGAGGAAAGTTCCTAGATGTTTTGTTTTCTGGGTCGCACTCCAACACAAATGTCTCCTTCAGAACTAGATATCCCAGAGGGAAGACTTAGTATGACACGGAGGCCCTCATTCTCTTTGAAAAAAGCTGTCACATATTTCACTGCAAATTAACTGAATCATAATTTAATTCATTTCAAGTCACTGGTCGCAATATTGAAAACTATTCTGCGTGAGCGAGTGTACACAAAGCGTGGATTCATCTCTTATAAGCTCATCAAGATAAACTTCTGTATCAGTAATAATGCCAGAAATAAGGAACTTATTTTGAATAATGAACTCTTCCCACCTTTTATTTGTCTAAAGAGCTTTTTTCCCCCCATTGAATTATTAACACTTAACATTGGTACAAAATAGTTCTTCCAGATTTGTGTCTTTCAAAATGAATTTCTTACACATTTGATTCTCTTAAAATATGCCAACTGACTATAAATCTCTCAATTCTAAACGTGTAAAGAGACACAAGGGAAGTCGCTGTCGCCACAGTCGAAGAGCTTCTGCTGCCGCCGTCACCGCCTGCAGCAGCCGGGACCCTCCGCCTCACCGCCTCCGCTTCGCCGCCCGCGCATGCCGTCTGAGAAGACCTTCAAGCAGCGCCGCACCTTCGAGCAAAGAGTAGAAGATGTCCGACTTATCCGAGAGCAGCATCCTACCAAAATCCCAGTGATAATAGAACGGTACAAGGGTGAGAAGCAACTTCCTGTCCTGGACAAAACCAAATTCCTTGTACCTGATCATGTCAACATGAGTGAGCTCATCAAGATCATTAGGAGACGCTTACAGCTCAACGCTAATCAAGCCTTCTTCCTGCTAGTGAATGGACACAGCATGGTGAGCGTGTCCACGCCGATTTCTGAAGTGTATGAAAGTGAGAAGGACGAAGACGGATTCCTGTATATGGTGTACGCTTCTCAGGAGACATTTGGAATGAAACTGTCTGTGTAAGACTAGAAAAATGCATCTGTTCTTGAATTTTTTTAAAACCTTACCAAGGAGAAAAAAAGGGGTATTACCAACTGAGATTGATGAGTTCATCCAATCACAGATCATCAAAACAGTAGTGTTCCTGCCTAGGAGTTTTAGGAAGTTGTTTTGTACTGTAAGCAGAAAAACTGAGCTCCAAATGAGCACATTCAGCTTTGGAAAACTACATTATTTAACCTAGGCTGTTTTGTTTTCAAATTTAGAAGTTTAAAAATAAAATACTTTGTATTCTAAGTTGCTAGTAGCATAGACCTTCACATTATTTTAATGCTCCTTCCCTATTAGGAACCTGCAATTTAAGCATTCAGAGACATTCTTTACGAGGTTCACTGAACTAGCCAACTTTTTGTAGAAGGTTTTCTACTCAACTGGGGAAATACCTGTAAGAGGATCTTTAAGTATAAGTTGTCAAGCATAGTTGTCTCCCCCCGCTCCGCCCCCCATTTGCTATAATCGTTGGCAAAAAGCTGGGAAAATGGGGGTAGGAAAACTCTGAACTGCTGCCCAAGGTTCCTGCTCCTCGTGTACGTGTACTGTGAGTCCGTGCTCTCACAGCGCTGGCGAGTTCTTGTTTGCTTCTCTAGACAGTAACAGAAAAGCACCACTGCTCAGTAAGAACCTTGAATAATTTAAAATTTTGGTCTAGTTTCTCAAAGGGCCCAGAGAAAGAACGTGTGACATTTCTCCTGGTTTGTATGTTCTCTAAGAAGTCAAACTGCTGTCCGCTTTGGTAAAGAAACGAGCTGTTCTATCCGTTTCATTCCTTAACTACAGTGCTAGAAACTACAGGACATGGGAAGTAAAGCATTAAAATTCAGATGCACTCCCTCTGCCTTTTGGCCTAAAGCTGTAGATGATCCATGTTTTATGTTAAGTGTGTGACTCTTATTAAAAAGTTACATTTTTAAGAGTATTTCAGTTGTCATTGTAGGTCAGCCAACCATCAAAGTTCCTCCACTCCCGAGTGCATGTCAGTTGTGAAGAAAACAGTAGCAAAAGGAGACCTAGTGCTCTTCACAGATACTCATGTCAGAAGTTAAACATTTTCCGAGTTCAACTAGAATAACCACCGCTTCCTGCTACCTGCATGGGGTTCACTATTTACTGTTTTTGTGGGAGTAGCACAGAAGGATCACAGACCCCTTCGGACTGTACTGCAGCAGGTCACGATTTCCCTTTGTGTATTTAGATGTGTGTGGTGTACCTGTACCTGTTAGTGGAAGTTACTTATTAACGGAGGGGGGGATGCCGTAGTACTGCATATGGGCGCTTGACCCCTGACCTTCCGACTACTCTTCCCGCTGCATGCATCTGTCCACATGGCTAACTTTTAATGTGTGTTTATACATAATGTAAATTCTTAATTGGCCTGTCTTGTTTAGATTGTATACATCATTATATCTGACATTCTTGTAACTACTGTGTGATCAGTAAGATTCCTAGAAGAAATTCTGCTTTTTAAAAAAAGTACCATGCGGAGAGGGGTGACTTCTAATCCCACATTAGTGGGTGGTCACTAGGATCTCTAAACCAAGTACATTTTTAATGAACTAAGGTGAATAAAGGCACAACTAAAAACTCAAAAAAAAAAAAAGAAAAAAAAGAAATGTGTAAAGAAAGTCTTATTAGAAAAGTAAGTTGCATTAAGGGAGAAATTAAGTTGCATGAGGGAGAACAGGGGATGATGCCCTGAGCGGAGAGCAGCCACAGCTCGGGAACTGGAGCCATGACATCTGAGAAAAGAAAAGAGTAACTATTTGCTTTTTATTGTTTGAGATGAGTCACATCTTGTACCCTCAAGATTCAGGCTGGAAGCAGGGAGTAGAGTCGAGAGAAGGGGCTAACGCTCCTCACCCTTCCTCAGGGTGCCTGTGAGGGTTTCCCAACTAACCCCCCAGTTACCCCCGTTTCACAGACATAGGAATAGAGGTGCAGGAGGATTCAGAATCACCTTTTATCGGCTACACATGAGTTACCTGGACACCTGACAGCAAGAGAAAGAAGAGAAGATGGACACGCAGCCCACAGGGGTTCGGGATTAAATCGGGGGTCCTGCACAGATGCTTCGTTAGGCCAGCGGCAGCCACCTGTGGGGGGAAGGTGGGCTCAGGGGGTCTAGCTGGGCTGGTGCAGAGAAAGAGTGAGCTCAGCGCAGTGTGGGGACACAGAAGAGGAAAGGGTGTCGAATCGTTCTGGGTGTTCACAGTGAGGTGCTAGATCCAGGGCTGCTGGTGGAAGCAAAACAGGGAAGCAGGCAGCAGACGGATAGAATTGGAACAGGCGGAAATAGGTTTTTAAACCCAATTTCCATTTCTCCATTTGTCTGGCTTTTGAGAGGAAATTTTTTGAGTTGAGGCCCCCTCCCACTGAGCGGGAAACCTGACATGAGGCTTGATCCCACGACCCCAAGATCATGACCTGAACCAAAATCAAGAGTCTGAGGTCCAACCAACTAAGCCACCCAGGTGCCCAGAAGCCCTTTTTAAAAGTCTTTTAGTTACTGTGAGTGCTTGGTAACTGTTAACAGCACCAAAACTATTCATGATAATTATTGGCCATAGTCATTGACAGTTTATAGCAGGAGGCAGCAAATTACGGCCCACAACCCCCTTTTGGGCAGTCTGCGAGCTAAGAATAGTTTTTACATTTTTAAATGGGTGGGGGGAGAAAAGAAGACCACTATTTCGTGACGTGTGAAAGTTAAATGAAATTCAAATTGTGTCTGTAACACATGTCCAAAATAAAGTTTTATTGGAACACAGCCACACTCTCCGATTTACACATGGCCTGTGGCTGCTTTCTTGTTCCCATGGCAGACTGAGGAGCAGGGAGGCTTGCAAACCGCACATGTTTGCCATCTGCCCTCCAAGGACGGTGTGCTGCCCTGTGACAGAACAAAGTATTCTTTTCTTCTTTAGGTCACCCCTTGCCTGTTATAATATTGTGGATGGCCGGCTATGAAGACATGCATAAGTTTATCAAAGATATTTGGAAAAGAGAGAGAAATCAGAACCACACAAAATGGGTAGTTGTGAAATAAAAGGTAGGGGCACCTTCCCAAGATGGATTTGAATTTTGCAGCCTGCAAAGACTCGCAGTTCTTAGACGTGCTCCGGGATTTAGAGGGTGGGCTCATATCCACAGTGTGCATGAAAGAGCAACACTGCACAGGAGGGTCAAAACCCCAATTAAAGTGGAAAGATTTGGAAAATGCTATGTGGAAGAGACACCTGCACCCCCGTGTTCACTGCAGCATTATTTACAGTAGTGAGAATATGGAAGCAACATCCATGCCCGTCGATAGAGGAATGGACAAAGAAGGTGTGGTATATACATACATAAAAAAGGAAATCCTGAGATTTACAACAACATGGATGGACCTGGAGGGCATGATGCCAAGTGAAATAAATCAGTCAGAGAGAGACAAATACTGTATGATCTCATTTGTATGTGGAATTTGAAGAAAAAAAAAAAAAGAAAAAAAAACCCAATGTCATAGAAAAAGAGATCAGATTCATGGTTCCCAGAGGCAGGGATGGAGGGGGGAAAGGGATTGGAGGAAAGTGGTCAAAAGGTCCCAGCTCCCAGTGAGAAGACAGGAAGTAGGGTGTGAGGTGCGCACAGACCATAGCCACCACGACCACATGATGCACAGGGAGGTAGTTACAGTAGACAGCTTCGAAGGGATGAGATCTCCTGCGGATCTGTTTGAGATGATGGATGCTCACTAAAGTGACGGTGGTGGCCATTTCACAATATCTGTAAGTCAAGGCACTGTGCTGTACGTCAATTATACCTTAATAAAACTGGAACACAGTTTTTAGAATGGACAGGTTTCAACTCACATCACATTAACGCTGTTGGGATTGTCCACTTGGCCGATCGCTAAGCAATGTTTTCTTGGGAGTGGGGTGAGGTCCAGAGTGACAACAGCTAGTAGCAGATGTGGACATTATAACGGGTGTCCTCAAGATACGAGAAGCTAACGATTGTGTTAGAGACGTGGGCCACGTGTGGGATGCAGCCCCTGGTAGGTGCCAGGTGAGCTCCGTCCCAGAGGGCTGAGTTGGAATTACTGACTCAGGTTTCTATTACACTGCTGTTCATTTGTTTCTTGGATTTTTTTTTGGAGGGGGGGTTGGTTTTTTGCCTTTTAGAATGTTTGCTACATCCAACAAACCAAAGAATCAATGTGACATAGTAAAACTTTGAATCCATAGAGTTTAAGAGAACATTGGCATCACCGGGCTGGGAGTATTCCTCTTGGCACACACTGCACCAAGGTGCAGAGAAACCCCCAAGTTCTCACCCACTGCTACCTTTCGGGTTTAAAAATATAGTTTTAGGGCGCCTGGGTGGCTCAGTTGTTAAGCGTCTGCCTTCGGCTCAGGTCATGATCCCAGGGTCCTGGGATCGAGCCCCGCATCGGGCTCCCTGCTCAGAGGAGAGCCTGCTTCTCCTTCTCCCACTCCCCCTGCTTGTGTTCCCTCTCTCGCTGTGTCCCTCTCCGTCAAATAAATAAATCTTTAAAAATATATATATAGTTTTAAAATATAGACCTGATTTCCATCCTTGACCATTGGTCAGGTTGCTTATATCCATAAGTCACAAAGAACCCAAGCAGCAAAATGATCATTACAATGGAAATGTATCATTAGCCCCGAGGGCTTTGGGTCAGAGCTACAAGCCTTCAAGGACCTGTGAAACCATCTGAGATTTGAAAAAAGGAAGGAAAAAATGTGCATTTCAAAACTAATCTCTGTTTAAGTAACTGTTGACAAAATACAGCATTGGGTCAGCAACTGAGTTTTCTCTGATAGAGTTGTTCGTGGGGCGTGTCATGGGGACCACACCCTACTGTCAGTCCCTGCCTTCCCTGCATTTTCACTTGAGAAGAGATAAAAAATGACAAACATGAAGTCGGGTAAGAGCAGAGCTGTGAACAGAAATATCCCGCCGGGTAGGAGGGCCCCGGGGTCAGGGGGAGGTGACCTCTGGCAGAGAGCTGTGTGAGGAGGGGCCACCCCACATCCAGGGGAAGGGGAGCAAATCACATTTGCAATTCTAGATTTTCTAGTTACCACAGTATGAAACTACAAAGAAACAGGTGGGTTTAATCTTAATACCATATTCTATTTAACTCAATATACCAAAATATTATTATTTTGACATGTAATTGACATTGACAATTTTAATGAGATTTTTGCTGAGTGGACAGGATTAAAGCTGATTGAAATGGACAACGGTGTAGCATTAATCTAGGTGAAGCGTGTTTTATCGGCACTTTTGGCCAGTTAGGACTTTAGGAAATTGTTTATCTTTCTTTGGAGAATCTTTTCCTAATGTACGGGGCTGAAGTATTTCTGATTAGGATACTTGGGAATATCTCGCAAGAATTATTTTAGAATTGCTTTCTTGGGGCGCCTGGGTGGCTCAGACATTGAGCATCTGCCTTCGGCTCAGGTCATGATCCCAGGGTCCTGGGCTCAAGCCCCGCATCGGGCTCCCTGCTCAGCGGGAAGCCTGCTTCTCCCTCTCCTACTCCCCCTGCTTGTGTTCCCTCTCTTGCTGTGTCTCTCTCTGTCAGATAAATAAATAAAATCTTTAAAAAAAAAAAATTTAGAATTGCTTTCTTAGGTAACTTGCAATTCCTAGTATTAACAAAGCCTGTTATATTCCTCCCCACAAAGAATTTGTGCTCATAAAATGTGTGTAAGCTGGTAAGGAAGTAAGAAGCAGAAAGTGAGATTCTGTGAGACAAATAGGCTGTGCACAACTAAGAATACACATACGTCCCCTGTGCTATGAATGCTCATCAGTAGTTCAACAGAACATGTTCAGAGGCAGTGCTGACGGACTTGCTGCTGGCTGCCACTAACCACAGACACAGAGGACCCCGGCCCACGAGCACTA